TGGACTCGTGTAATGCTGCTCCTTTGGTGATTCGGTGATTTCTCTCAGCACTATGTTCTCCAGGTCCATCTGGATCATGAGGTGTTTCGTGGTTTCCTCACTGTTTGTGGGGTGATGGATAGCAGTCCGTGTGTGATGTAATGGGGTTTCTTTATCTGTTCTTCCACCAATGGGAAGATGGGTGGTTTCCACCTTCGTGCTATTGTGAGCCGGGCTGCAATGGGCATTGGGGGGCGGGGGGGTGGGGGGGAGTCTGCTTGTGCTATGGCTCTTATTTCTTTAGGACATAACACGGCAGAGGGACTTCTGGATCAGAAGCAATGGCTATTCCAAATTTTGTATGGTGGCACCACAGCACTTTGCAAGGTGTTTGTGCATGCGGGTTCCAATCTCTTCTCATCTCTCCAGCATTTGCTATCATCTGTTTTATTGAACTTGGCTGCCAAACACACAGCATATCTTTCATGCATATGCATGCTTGAATCCGAGACCTCTTGAGTTCATTTAAATGTTAGAACAAAAGAGGAGTCTAGGTGTAAACATCGGAGCCTTTAAACCGGGTGATAAATCCAAGGCTCGAAACCCAAATGCTTCCTCCCCTGCTTTTGGAGAAGTCCTGTACTCCTCTGATCCTCCCTTGATGACTGTGCTGGTCCTCCCCTCATCACAGGCCCCCACCCCACCCCCAGGTGAGCTTGCCTTTCCCCTGCTACGTGGATGCCCCAGCAGTTCTCAGGAGGAAGTTCACCTGAAGGCTTGATGGAATGTTGTTGTGAAACCAGCTTTTCTAATTCTTGGTGCTAAGGGGAAAACCAAAATCAATCAATTGCGAGGGTCCCTTTTTGAGCCCTGGAAAAAAATAGTGCCTTCTGGTGCTCGCCGAGAGTGGGCCTTTCTGTGGTTCATGGTCCTAGATGGGCAGAGGGGTTCAGGGGTCCATGGGGGGTTAGAAGAGAGAGACTTGGAAAGAGAGTGCTCTGAGACACCCTGCTTCTATGCAAATCATTATTTGTAAAACTGCAGAGTCGGGGTTGAAAAGGAGCATGCCTTTTTCCTTCTGAAAAAGGTGGGTGCTGTCAGCTGTGGCTGGTGCTCTCTTGGGGTGGCATCCCAGCGTTCTGCTTCCTTCAGAATTCACCCATCCTCGTGCCGTAGTGGACTAAGCATTGGGCTGCTAACCACAGCGTTGGTGGTTCTAATCCCCGAGTCACTCCATGGGAGAACGATGTGGCTGGCTGTACCCATAAAGACTGACAAGTCTCAGAAGCCCTAAGGAGTGCTTCTGTTTTGGGCTGTAGGGTCGCTGTGAGTCGGGATGGACTTGGTGGCCCATGGTTGGGTTGCTATAACGGATTAATCTCCCATTCTCGCCATAATTGGACTGAGTGACTGAGGTGGTTTGGGATGGCCGGAGACTCCCCCACTGAGGACTGAGGTTTCAGGGCTAACCATATTTGGGTGGTCAGCCTGCTAACTCTACCTGCAACTAACACTCGGGGCTTTGGAGCCTGCTTTTGAAGACGGAGACTTGAGTGGAAGGGGCGGCCAGTGTGACAGTCGGCTCTGCCTAGCTGGAGGGGAGCCACTGTGGCCCAGCGCTCTCTGTCACTGTCTTACTTGGATGCTGATGGCACATTCTGCAGACCGTCTCGAGCTCTCCACGCAAATGGCCAAAGTGCTGACAGTGAGGGGCACCAGGCCAGCTGCTGACTTGGCAGGTTTCCTTCCCAGATCTGCCTGCCAGCAGGACTGCTCTCCCTTTATCTCCTTTTCTCAAGCAGAGAACGGGATGCCTGGCTCTGTGTGAGGGGGGTGGGGGGGAGCAGGGGGGTGGAGACAGAGATTGTACGTCACTGGAGGACTGCCTACTTCTCTGAATGGGAAACAAGGGAATCTTCATTTCCGGAGGAGAGGGCTACAGACGGGGGCTCTCCAGATGTCCCCCTGGTGGCTAGGTATCCAGAACACACGATAGCAACAGAAGTGTCCTTACGGTGACCACCCACTGCTGCCACCAGGGGTGCCACGGGCCTGTGTTTTCATGTCACCCAGCCCTTCTCCGCACACATGCACTCCGGCCCCTGGAAATGCCTGATGCCACTTGGCAATGCCAGGGGTGTTGGCCTTCCCGTGCCCACCCCACGTGGGAAGCAGTTTGAGGGTCACAGGCCAGGCCCCTTAGCACACATCACAGGAAGGTCATGCAGCAATAAAAGGCCCCACAGACTTACGGGTTCCTGCCCCTGCTGGCTCCCGCCCTTGCTGTGATGCAGCATAACTCAGGCTAAGCTTCCATGATGACGCAGGGAAGGAGCAGAAAGGTTCAGGGGGCCCCTTAAAGCAAACCAAGAGCCACTCTCCGAGGCCTGGGAAAAGCAGGAGCGCAGAGCACGATACAGGATACATGCTGCAGCCAGGTCTCCTTAGTTACTTGGGAGTCCTGGGGGCACCATGGTTAAGAGCCGGGCGGTGACCGGCAGGATCAGCAGTTGGGAACCCCGAGCCAGTCCTCGGGAGAAAGATCGGGCTTTCTACTCCTGTAAAGAGTTAACAGCTTGGGGAAGCCACGAGGGCAGGGCGTTTGGTTTGCTGCTTCCTGGAGGGAGAGCGAGCGGAAGGCCAGCGTGTGGGCAGGAGCCACGCATCCCGATTCAGAGCCACAGGAGCGCACCCAAGGGGGTCAATGTGTGGCTTCGCTGCGAGGGGAGCCGGCGGTGGAGCCACCGTGGTCTGGGTCCAGGCGCGTGCCTGCTGTGACGCACGCGCGCGCTGTCTGTGACAGATCGACGAGCTGGAGGAGCAGTGCGGCGAGATCAACCGAGAGAAGGAGAAAAACTCCCAGCTGAAGCACAGGATCGAGGAGCTGGAGTCCGAGCTCCGGGAGAAGGAGACGGTGAGTAGGGGTACACTGCACAGGGCCCGCCCCCTCCTCCCCTGGGAACCCCCGGGGGGTGGTATCGCCCACAAACTCAGAAGGTGGCCGGCAGGCACGAGTCCCCGCAGCAGACGCTGCCGAGTGCTGGCCCGCCTGGTCCACCCCCGCAGCCTCCCCGCAGAGGTGCAGCCAGGCACCGAGACTGGAGCGCTGGGCTGCGCCAGGACGGAGGCAGGCAGAGCCGTCCTGGACGGCCAGGTGCGCAGACGCCCCAGGCCCCAGGCCACGCCTCACCTACAAAACCCGAATCCAGAGAACGCCTGCCCCCCCCCACCCCCGGGGCAGTGTGCAGAGCCCCAGGGAGCATTAAGGTGCAGCCGCCCCTTGGGAGAAGAGGCAGGCGGCAGTCTGCTCCCACGGAGACCCCATCTCGGCCATCCTAGGGGCCACTTCTGCCCTGTCTCCTACGGCCACTAGGAGTCAGACTGACCTGGGGGCAGTAGATTGGGGTGATGCCAGTGGTTAGTGTGCAGAGCTGCGAGCCAGAAGGTTGGAGGTGCAAGACCACCCAGGGGTGCCTTGGAAGAAAGGACTGGCAGTCTGCTCCCCCCCAGCAGCCATTGAAAAGGCAGTGGAGGACAGCGCTCTGACACACGCGCACACAAGGACCAACTGGACAGCCCCTGGGTTTGCAGGGACCACGCTGGTCTGGCCTGCCGTTTCAGCACCCACATACTCATCAGTCACTTAGACGTAGGCACAGCGGACCCCCGCCTCCTGCCTCCTGCCACCGCAGGCGACTTCCCGCAGCAGTGCCCACACGGGGTTTTCCACCATGCCTGGCGCCTGGCCTGCTCTCACGCTCCTTTTCAAACTTATGTCTCACGTAGGAGTTGAAAGATCTCCGAAAACAAAGTGAAATCATACCTCAGCTCATGTCCGAATGTGAATACGTCTCGGAGAAATTAGAGGTAAGCTTGGGGGAGAGGGGCCCCCTCCGAGCTCAGGTGGGGCGGGCGGGCGGGGGGTGGCATTTGTGGTATATGCCTTTCCTCCGCTGCCCCTTGCCTGCAAAGAGGAAGCCAGTGGTCATGGCGGGCCAGACACCCGGGTGCGGGCTCGGCAGGGGCTGTCTTGGTTTTCTCCTCTCTGTGCCAAGAAGGTCCCCTGGGGGCGGCCGGTCCCCTGCCCACAGAAGCCCCACTGACCCACAGGGGTGAGAGGACGGGAGGAGGCTGGAAAGCATAGGACTCCAGCGCTGGCCAACCCCTGCCACTCCCCAGCCAGGGATCAGCGGCCCTCCTCACTGGCCTCCTGTCTGATGCCCATAAGGAGGGGCTCTCAGGGACATGCACTGGTGCTTCATTCAGATGCACAGCCCCGTACAGGCTCGGGCTCACGTGCACCTGCTTAAAATAGAAAACACAATGGCAACTTCCAAAGGCTCGTGAGAAAATTAAAATGAAAAAGAAAGAAAGGAAAAGGAAATAAAAAGGTAATGGAACCCACCCCCACTGCCCCCGAACTTTTGGGAGCCCCGCTGAGTTTCAGAAGCTCCTTCTAGAGAGGGGGAGTGCAGGGCTGAAGCTTCATTCAAGGACAAAGGCAGGCCCCATCCTCGGAGCCTGCTGTCAGATTCTCCTGGAGGGGACTGAGGCAGAGACTGAGCAGGGGCCCTGGCCTCCGCAGTGTGTCACCATGGCAACCGCATCCTGGTGCACGGGCAGCTGTCCCAGAGTCACACTGCACAGCCAGCCCTCCCTGCTGAGGCCCGGAGGCTGGCCCCTGGCTGCGGAGGCCTCCCCCTCTCAGTAGAACTAAGAAAGGCAGCCATCCCCCTCCTTCCCACTCTCAAAGTGAGCAAGGGCCTCTGCTGACCACCAGGACCTGGGCTGACACCTCCGCCCTGGGATTGCCATGTGAACTGGAAACCCGTGCCCTCAGGTAGGCCCCGGCGCTCTGTGCTCTGTGTTGGGACTTGGTCCTCAGCAGGTGGTGGTCAGCGCTTCTGCTGGAAAACCAATGGCATAGGGGAGAGGGGCACCCAGAAATGGCCGCTACTTTTTTTTTCAGTTGTGGTATTAAATGGAGCCCTGGTGGTATACTGGTTATGCGTCAAGCCTCGATCCGCATGGTCAGTAGTTCTGAACCACCAGCAGTTTAGCTGAAGACAGACTGGGCTTTCTACTCCCCTCAGTAGTTACAGTCTCGGCTCTGAGTCAGCACGGACTGGATGGCAATGAGTGTGGAATTTGAGTTATACGAGTACAACCTCCTTTGTCTCCAAAACGTTTTCATCAGCCCAGATAGAAGGTCTGTCTAGACCTGCTTCCACGTCTTCCCATGGCCCTCTCCTCTCTGGCCTCAGTGGTCGCAGCCCTGCGTGTTGGGGGATTCACAGTGTCCGTAGAGATGTCAGGCCCCCTTCCCAAGCCCACAGGTCTGGTGGAGAATGGGCAGTTTGGCCGAAGGAGGTCTCGGTGGACAGACGGCCCCAGTCGCTCCTTTCCCCAGAACTTCCACTCCCTTCTGTTTGACTCCAGGCAGCTGAGCGAGACAATCAAAACCTGGAAGACAAGGTGCGCTCTCTGAAGACAGACATCGAGGAGAGCAAATACCGACAGCGCCACCTGAAGGTGGAGTTGAAGAACTTTCTGGAGGTGCTGGACGGGAAGATCGATGACCTCCATGACTTCCGCAGAGGCCTCTCCAAGCTGGGCACGGACAACTAGGGCTGGGTGTGTGTGCGAGTGTGTGTGTGCGTGCGCGTGCGTGCGTGAGACAAAATAGGACTAGGCTACTCTCCTGTGTGTTTGCGTTGCTTTTGCAAATGCAGGCGTAGTCTGTCGTGTTTCCAAACCAGGTGTGCCGTTCACTCAGCTCCTCTTCAGATTAGAACCCTCCTCTCGCTTCTCCGCCTTGTGGGGCTGTGGACACCTGGAAGACTCTCACTCAGGAACCCAGACCTAGATCTACCTAGTCGATGCAGTCGGGGCAGGGATGTTCATATCTTTCTCAAGGGCTGTTGCAACCATATGAACTGAAGACAGGGAGAAAGCAAGTCTTTTCTGATCCAGATAGGAATAACTTTGGCATCAGGCTGTTTCCTCATTCTATTGGCTGGTGTTGAGCGGACATGAATGTCCCAGAGGCCGCCACTCCACTCTCGGTCACTGTCGAGATCCTTTACAACAACCACCAGTCCAGCCTTGTCCAGGGAGGGAAAGCGGGTTTCTGGAGGCGGGGTTGCTCCTGTGGGGGTGGCCTGCCTCCAGCCCAGGTTGCAGGGCCCCCGCTGTGCTCCTGGGTTTTCGCTTCTGAGCAGATGGCTGTGCTGTGGGAACCGCAGGCAGGCAGGTGCCTAGCACAGTATCCATCCAGTACAAGTAGGTGCTTAATAAATAATTGCTCCCTGAGACGTGTAAGCAGAGTAAAGTGTGTTCCTCGAACCTCAGGAGCCTGGCAGAGTCCACCCCTGTGAGAGACGCGCTGGGCAGTGAGCAGCATGAATGCAGTTCATGGTGTGGTCGAACCCAAGAGTTTCCTGGCCGCCATGGGCAGGAAGGGTGGCCTAGGAGGAAGCAGGAGCTGGGCCCATGGTGTGTGTCCCTCGGGTTCTGTGGTATAGGGCCGGCCCTTTTCCTATGGCCCAGGGAATCCCAGGACCCCTGGCTGTTCATGGTATGGGGCTGCCCAGGGCTTGGCACCTAGGGTGGGGCCCTCTGTTGAGATGCTTACTGAATCGCTCAGGCCCACAGGGGAGAGAGAGGTGAGCTGGCTGAGTCTTGTCCCAGGCCGGCCTCTGCCCTTCTCAGGATCCACCAAGGAGGGGCTGAAGCCGTGAGCCTCTCCCCCCAGCCTACAGAGCTGTTCATGGGCCTCCCTTTCTCAGGGCACTGCTGGCCTTTCCTCCTGGGGCATACTGGCTCGGGCATGGCAGGAGGCTCCCCACGCTTGCCCCACACATTTCTAAATGCTTTCTGGGGGACTTTGGTGGACCCTTCCCCTTTGAAGGATCGCCTAAAGAATTAATGTTCTCCAGTGGTTAGAATGTGCCCTGCTGGATTCCTGCTTGAGGGGCCTGGGTTTCGAGCTGAGACATCGGTCCTGTGGCTTTCTCATCTAGCCGAGCCCCCTCTCTAAGCAAAGAGGCCCCCTTGGGGTGGGAAGGGAAGCAAGGTGTTTGGTCTGGAGCATGGAGGCACTTGAAGGGAGACCCCCGCAGGTGTCGTGGGGCCACGTGGGGGCTTTAGTTGAGCTCCCTGGACTCTTAAGGAGTGCAGAAAGGGAAGCGTGGAGGGAGAGGGGCAGACAGGAAAGGGCAGGTGTGGTCTGCCCAGTCGTGATGGGTAAGGTGGAGCTGGCCCTGCCCTTTCCCCAGAGGCCCAGGGAGCCCTCCTGGCAACCAGTCTTTGATAGTGCTCCATGCACCGGCCCCGCCAGAACCTTAGAGAGCTGAGCTGTCAACGAGCCGGCCACCACCACCATCCCTTAGGTGACAGACAGGAGCATGCTGAGTGACATGTCCAGCGGAGGATGGGCCCTTGGTGTAAAGCCTTTTGTGCATTCCAGTAGCAGTGACTCGGGGACAAAAATGTTGCCCGTGGTGGAGTCATTGCCGTGGTCGGTGGCTACTTTGTCCCTCTGTGGTTGAGACACGTGATCTGGCCTCCCCAGCGGGGAGGGGTTGGTCAGAGAGTAGGTGAGGGATGGCGACAGAGTGCCCTTCCTATGTGGGCTCCTCTAGTGCCAACTCTTGATGCTGTCCAGGAGCTCAAAGCGGTAGGGACTCCTTCGAAGGGGAATCACTGGGCAGGGCCAACCTGAGTGCAACCGTTGATGCACTCAGCCACTAACCAGCTACTCAGCGGTGCCTTGGCAGAAAGGCCTGGCAATCCACTTCCTGGAGATCGGCCACCGAAACTCCGTGGAGCTCACTTCTACGCTGGTCACCGTGCGTGGGAGCCGATCTGCTTGGCAGCTGGTCTTGACGTCGAGTTCATCCGTAACAACACAGAGCTTCCAGAAAGCACTGGGCTTTCCAGTCTTTCTCGAAAGAGGATGAAGTGTTTCTCTACCTGCTGAATGACTAATAAAAGTAATGGCTAGGAATGACCTAATGGAGGCTTGTGGTCCGTTAGTTTAAAAAAAAAAAAGGCAGCTGTTCGTGGCAACCTCTGATGCTGCGATGGATGGGCTTGACACAAGACCATGACCCCCTGAGTTCAGCCTGGTGTTGCTTTGAGCAGGTTTAGCGCACTCCCCTTATCGAGAGTCCAGGCGCTGTGTGGTAACGCCCCTGGTTGTCATTGGCATCCATCAGGTGCAGGCAGGGCTGGCTCTCTCCGCTCTGCTCCGGGAATGTCGGGGAGGGGTAGGTCTGGGGACCTGCACGCTTCCATTTCTGAATGCAGTCTCCTGATCTGAACATCTCCTTCCAGCCTGGCGGCTCGCTCCGTGATCGGGGCTTTCTGCTCAAGTAAAGAGTCGCCGTCTCAGCAACTCCACCCTGTCCTGTAGGGTCGCTGTGAGTCATCATCAACTCCATGGCAGTGAGCTTGGGTTTGGTTTGGTTTGGTTTGGTTTGGGGGTGACATTTGGAGCCTGGAAGAGGCAGAGCAGAGCGTGGAACTCTTTAACGCTGAAACTAAAGAACTGTTTCTGTCCCAGTCCAGACCCGACTGGAGGGTTCACTTGGAATTTGAGAGCGGTGAGTGGAGACAAAGTTGTCCTAGGGCCCAGCGCTTGTAAAATTGCCAGGTGACACACAGGGACAGGGTGGCCGGGAAGGAGAGCGTCTACAGTCCTGCATCCCGCCTGTGACGCATCCTTGTCCTGCTCACCTGTGGGCTCTCACCTCCCACCTCAGTTTGAGGAAGAACTAAGTGGGTATCCTCATCGCATTTCCCAGACGGGAAGTGGAGCTGGAGGAAGGGAAGTGACATGCCCAGGGTCCCCCAGTTAGTGAGCCAGGCAATGTTAGTGAGTCCTGCACCTGGGTCGCCCCACGCCTGGTCCAGCATCTGTGTGTGAGCCAGGCTGCTGTCTTCCCCTTGAGGACACTGCATGGCAAGAGAGAAACAAACCCAGTTGATAAGAGCATATTACATTGATATTACTTTAGCGTGTGTCCACCGCAAAGGGCAGTTTACAGAGGCTCAGAATCACACTGCTGTTCATTAGATAGGCTGAGTCTAGTGTTTTGGGACTCTTTCCAGAAGCCAAACTCCGAGCTCACTGCCTTCCAGTGGATGCCGACTCAGAGCGACCCCCTGCGGGTTTCCGAGACTGTAACTGTTTACAGGAGTAGAAGCCCCTTCTTTTCTCCCGAAGAGCTACTGGTGGTCTTGAACTGCCGATGGTGCAGATCGCAGCCCAATGCTTCACCAGTGTGAGTTAAAACGCTGCCCGTGCTCTGAAAGGCGAGTTCTCTGGGACCTATCCTTATGTTGAGTCCTTTATTGATGGGCCTTAATGGAAGCAGACAGTCGGTTGGAAAAAAAATGGCAGGTCTTAAGATGGCAGAGATGGGCACAGAGTTCTGGCTCGGGAAGTACCTGTCCACTGTCCCAGTCCCTCCAGAGATGAGCCAGTCCTGGAGGGAGTAGTTTTGGAGGGAGGGGGTAAGCAGCCTTGCCCAATTGTAACGGGTTGAGTGGAATATCACCAGCACCCAGGAAGCTTGGGTCTCTAACCTTCAGGACTTTTCTCAGGCCAGCCTGGACTCCGAGCCCATGACATTTAGGTGTGAGTGTGTGCTAGAGAGAGTGTCCCGTAGTGTTGTAACCTCTAGTTAATCGGTCTCTGAGCACTCCACCTAGACCAGGCAATGTCGCAGGGATAGGTGATGTGATGTGAGAGAGTGAAACAGTGCCTGATGGCGGCTCTAGCAAGGGGACATGCTGGTCACTCTGAACTCAGGGTTTCACTCAAACACAGTATGAACGAAGATGCCCAGACTGTTCCCAGGAGACCACGTGGCCTGTTCTGTCACCCAGCATCTCGTGTCACTCACAAGCCAGGGCCTTCGGCATCGCTCGTGGGCCAACCGCACACCATCCTGACCCACCTACTTTGGGAGGACTCTTTTTCTAGAGACTTTTCTAAAGAAAGAAAAAAATATTTTTCTATAGAAACCAGGGCCCACTTTGGATAGCAGGCGATTGGAGTGCGTGCCAGGGACCGGATAATGGGCCCTCGCTTGTGGCCGGGAGGTAAGGTGAGCGAGAGGTGAGGGGGCTTAGTGGACTTAGTGGGGCCACTGGAGTGAGGGAGCCCTTACGGGGACGCCTGCGCTGCTCTGAGCAGCTGGAACGAAGGTCCGACTCTATTCCTCACGCACACTTCACTGAAGGTCGCGGCACCAGCGGTTGAACCTAAATCTTGCAAATAGATGTCCGTAACTATTTTTAAATGATGTCCATGATTTAAAGGGATTTCTGAGTGCCAGCCTTCCCCAGAGAACTAGGACATGTTCTGGGGAGGGGAGGGAGGGGAGCCTGGAGGGGGGACCCTGCAGAGGTAGAAAGGTGTATGATATTTGCTCATCTTTGCCATGCGCGCGTCTCTAGAACGGGGGTGTTCCAGTTCCGCCACCAACACTGGCCAGCCAGAAAGGGGGCATGTGGTAAGAATTTTGCGCTGGATGAAGTACTGTAATGAATTTAGGGGTGTGTGTGTGTGTGTGTGTGTGTGTGTGTGTGTAGGAGCAGGAGGGGGAGGAGGAAGCACGAGAAAGGAGAGCATTTTCAATAAAAAAGATGTACACCGTAGAGGAGTCCTTCTTGTAATATTTCTGACGGTGAGCTTCTCGTCTGTTCTGGAATCTATTTAAGGCGAGAAGAGTGTCTGGGTCTTTTGTCTTGGGGCACTGCTCTCTCTTCGATCAGCGGCAGGAAGCCCTGCTGGAGCATGGTCCGCCAGGCCACTAGGGTCCCCAGCGCACCTGGCAGAGGCTTCCAGAGCCACAGTGCAGTTCAAACTGTTGTTCTAAACACCTGTTTGGCAGACGATTGACAGGGTGGATGATATACAGCTGTGGGGGAGGTGTTACTGTTTTTACCTGTTGTACCAGCTTGGGAGAAACTCCGGGCATGAGATAAGTCGCCGTTGCCCAGTTTTATGATGTGGCAGCCAAGGAGGCATCTTCTACACCAAATGTCAGTGTTCAATGAGAACAATGGGTAGACGTTTCATTTTTTAAAACTCCTTCTTGCTGCCTTAATTAATAGATGAGAGGGAGTCAAATGTCTTGCTGCAAAGGTTCCAGCCCCTACAGGCACAGGCCTGGGCCAGCACGCCTGGGCCATCGGACGGACGCACTCTCCTGGCGCGCCACTCGTCTGAGCCTCAGGAAGGCTGCTTCAGAAATGGGAGCCAGTCAACACGAGGACTTCTCACCAGCGGACGGATGTACCACACGCAGCTTGTTGATTGCTTGCCTGTGACGGGCCTTGCGAGTTTGATCTGTGCAATGCAGCCTTGTTTCATTTCTCTTGGGTTTTGTTTTTGTTTTTCGGTTTAAGGCCTATTTTGAATCAAGCTGCTATCGACAGGAAAACGGTGGCTCCTGCGTGGCCAGCTCAGCGGGGCTGGGGAATTCGGAAGCGGACCCTTCTTCCATTTGGGCGGTGGACACAGTAGTCGGGCGTGTTATGAAGGAGCTTTAAGGACGGGGGAGACGGCGAGGGAGGAACCCAGTAAGGGAAGTCGCGCAGAGGGATTTTTCCCTATCACAACACGCACTTGTCCATTCTTTGAGAGTGGCGAGACTTTTCTAGGCAATCTTATTGAGACGCCTTTCCCGTCCACTCTGCAGCCCCAGACTTGCCCCTTCAGATTTCTGTTTGTTCCTGAAACTCGAAGATGATTTCAGAGGAGTGTGACTCCGGGCTCGGGGATGCCAACGCTGCAGAGCAGGCGCATGCCATGCGTTTGGAATTCTTCAGGGAAGGGCTGGAGATGGGACCCCACCCCCGGGGGGTGCACACCTCGAGAGGGCCAGAAAGAAGAGCTTCACAGTTTGAATATTTTTGTTTCACAGAGGCTTCTATGATTTTGTAGACGCACTTATGTAAATAAGTGCTTTTTGACTTAGCCTCATGTACTTTTCTTTAAAAAAACAAAATATCACGTATCTGTCATGTTACGTGAAAAGAAAAACAATCTTGTGTTAACATGTTGGTATGTATCTTTTCAGATTCTTTTCAATTGATGCTTTCTTTATCATCGCCCCCCCCCATGAAATCGATTTCTCTTATAGATACTACTTTGTTTATAACTTGCCATTTCCCCTCTTACCACAGTGTGGTGAATCCAGTTCTACACTTGTAAATATGTAACTATATACCTAGATAGAGGTTGTACCTGGGATCCTTAGGTGGTCTCCATTTTTTTAATTACTGTTAGAAAAAAAGATGAAACCCTTTCTTCTGAACGCTTTCGTGAACTTCTCAGGATATTGGAGGGGATTTCTGAATTTGAACTTGTAGCCTCAACAGCCTGGTAGACGTAGGAAGCGCTTGCGCGGCTTGGCTCGGCTCTCCTTTCTGGGCGCACAGGGGACTGGTCATCAGAGACCCTGGGTTAACACCCTTGACCGCTCACTGAAAGGTGAGCAGTTCCGCTCCTCCAGAGGTGTCTCAGAAGAAAGGCCTGGTGATCCGCTGCCCAGAAACCAGCCCTGGAAGCCCTAGGGAGTACTTCTGATCTGACCCGTGAGTTGGAATCAACTTGATGGCCAGTGGTCCGGCAGGGTCCTCTGTGATTAATTCCGGCCACTGAGATGCGAATGGAAGAGACATATGGGACTTCCAGGCTGAGGCTGTGAGCCTCCGTGTCTGACGTGTATTTCCCAGCCTCTCTCTTTTTTGTTCCGGCAAACGGCGGTAGCCCAGGAGTAGCACCCCCGTCCACTTGGGTCCCTGGGTGACAGTGTGGGGTAACCTCTTTTATATTTTCCCCCGTGCCCCCACCTCACCCCACCCAACCGGCAAGAATATGTCGTGTGAATAAAAATAACAAACCTTAAGTTATGCCACTGGAAATTCAGGGTTAATTCGTGTTACTGCCACATAACATATCCTATCCTGACTCTAAGGACTTTCAGTATATTTTGCCT